GGGATAGAATTAAACTGAGCATGGAAGTGCAAAAGTGGCCTTTCATTTTGTTGTTGCATGTTTGTTTCAAGCTGAACATTGACTGACCTTCCACAGCGATGCGTTTCTTTGGCCAGTCTTTCATCTCCCGGGAGAGGACAGTAGTGGTCCGCACACTGATCACATTGTCAGCCATGTTGAACTCCAGCGAGTAGAAGCGGAGCATTTCCACCCAGAGAAGCCCGACTTCCACAGGTAGGTGAGGGCTCTGAAACACCAGTGGAACCTGCAAGAAAACACAGTACAGAGTAGTTGTGGGGATAGTGCAATGGTTCCCAACCTTTACTAGTGAAAAAAAAAAAAAAAAAAAGGTCATGCCCCTCTAAAACACAATTTGTTAAACATTACCAATGATGGGGGAAGCAACTAATTTAAAAAAAAAAAAAGGTCAGCGAAATAGCATGAGCAAACTGTTTTTTTCACTCCATAGTTTTCCCCTGGTCATCCACACCCCCCTGCAGTGGCTCTATGCCACAGTTTGAGAACCACTGGGATAGATATTAGGCAATCCTTAGCTCCTCTACTAAACCACACACTGATCTAGAAGAACATTCATCACAGAAAGCAATCAAACTGCCAAAAATGAGGAACCACTACACTATTCTGATAAAAACAAACTACATTAGAGTGTTCATGATTACCTTTCCTTTAATACAGGAGCCCTCTGGTGGCTGTAATGATTCTTTGGAGGAAGGGGTGTAAGCCCAGTGTACATATTCATCCTCAACATGTGTGAGATTGAAGTCTGACAGCCTGCTGAGTGAAAACACCTTAATCTAAAAGACAATCAGATGATTAGATTAGTTTGACAAACACTGAAATTAATACTGAATGTTTTATTACAGGCTCAGGATGACAAGAAACACACACCTCTTGTTTCAGGTAGGTAGGCAAGACGGACTCTTTGCGCTGCTGTAAGAAGTAGATAACCATGAGGGCGAAGACATACGGTGGCAGTCCACCTTCCTCTGCACGGTCAATCACGCAGATCTAAGTCGGAAGCAGGAACAACACGTTAAAGAAAAAAATATAGACATACTGAGTCCCTTTTACTAGTTGCCTAGCTAATATGAGTTACAGGTCAAGGTCTCAGCTGGAAACCTACCTGGGCCCATCGTCTGAGGCCCAAAACCAGTGGGAGGAGGAGAGGTTCCTGGCTGGATAGAGCAGAAAGATAGGAGGTGGTCTGGAACGCATTTTCATTTCCTGCACTGACTTTGCAGACGAGGCCACTGTAGACAAAAAAAGAAAATCAGTTTTCATTAGTGGTTTACTGTAATGTAACCGTGATGTGAGCTATTTTTTCTGTACGAGTGCAAGATAAGCCATTCTAGTATAATAATAAAATAATCCAGTAAATGTCAGAGATACCCACCTATGTTTCTCTTTGCAGATGACCACGGGCACCCTAGCATGAAAATCAGCTTCCAGGTCAAAGAAGAGAGCTGAGGACATAAAAAGACATGTTAAATTTAAAACTTCAGTGACAGTCTAGCACATGACTGTGGTGGAATTTAACAAGGAAAAAAATCTTGCAGTTTACTAAATAAGAGGTGACTCACGGCTCACAGAGAGGCTCTCCTTGACCAACAACAAGACGTCTGGCTGATGCATCTGTGAATACATTCCATTTCAGAGCCTTCATACAACATAAATACAATATAAAAAAGGACATACATATGAATGTAGTGTGTCCAACAAACATCCACAAAAAAATGACCTTTAAATCTAATAATGAATACAAAGTATTAACAGAAATATTTTATATCATTCTGAATATCTAACACCAATATAAGTTATCCTAAACCTCCAATATGTTATGCTATGATCAAAGTCTTCTAACTTACACCTTGTAACATTATAACTTGCATATCTTTTTATGTATTATATTTTTTCTAAAGGAGGTGTTTGAGTGTTTTTGTAAAAGTGGGAAAACCCCAAATAAAGACTAAAAAACCCACAAAAACATTCACACCATCGAACTCACACTGGCCTACTCACGTGAGGTGGATACTGAATGTCAATGTTAACATCAGAATCCTTAAATCCAAACTTAGTGCAAGACGATCCATAGAGCCTGAGCCTGATCTCTACAGATGAGAGAAAGAGAGAGGGAATAATGATGTTCACATTAAAACATAACTCACAGACAAAGCATAAGAGACAACAGCCTGTCCACTACAAAACAATAAGCTGGATGAATTGAGGTCATGTCGCTGTCACCAAACTATTATTTCGCCCCCTCAAGTGACTTACCAGGAAGGACGGACAGAAGTAGGTCTTGCATGATGGAGACAACACTTTGTCTCCTCTCAACATCCTCGTCATTCATCCCATGATCCCGGACAACAGCCTCTAGTGCAGCACTCACTGCACTGATCTGCTCTGGACCAGGAGGCAGAATCTCAGTCAGCATCACCTGCTCTTGCCTCTCCTACGAACACAAACACACAAGCAAACAGGTATTCAAGCTCTTTTTTTTTTTTTAAATGCAGAAACTTACTTCACCATAAAAATACTGCAGTATTTAGTGTAATTGTGTAAATGGTTATTTGCATAATAAGATCATTTCTCACCCTGGCCTTCTTCTTGTGTCGTTTGTCTCTGATATGCCTGTAAGCGTCAGACAGAGATTCCAGGAGAAGATCACACAGAGTGCAGGTGTAAAGTGCAGCAGGGTTGCTGTGGGACCTCTGAACCAATTTACAAAAAGGAGGAAAGTACAGACATCAGACGGCTGTTTAGTCGATTAATCATTTGGTCTATGAAACAACACAAAAACAGTGACAAATGCCCAACTCATCATTGATCATTAAATGTCTTTTTTTTTTGTCTGACCAAACAAGAAGTTTACTATAATGTAAGCAGCAACTTATCACATTTGAGAATCCTGAGCCAAGCTAATTTTTACATTAAAAAAAATGACTGAAACAATAATAACTAATTAATTGACGAATCAAATGTACCTTCTTCAGAGAGTAGATCTCCTCTCTGTTAAGACGCCTCTCTGCCTGCCGTAGGCTGTGGAGGTCTTTGGCTGAGAGTGTTGATTCTTCAAGGCCCCTGTTCTCTTCAGCAAAGGTTTTCTTCTTGTTCCTGTTTCTCCGTCTTCTCCCTTCGGAAAGCAGAAATGCGTCAAAGATATGTTAACTAGGCTTTTGTGGAGATCCTGTTAATTGGTAATGTGTATAAAGTACAGACCGTTCTTACAGTTAGACTCAAGCTAGATTTTAATATACATTACATCATTATGATCAGAGTCAGAGTGGAATGCTAATTGAGACCGCTACCTTACTCACCAGACTCACCTGATGCATGAGCGCTGCCATCAGTGGGCTCTCTCCTCCCCTGCTCCCTGTCCTCCTTTGGACCTTCTCCCTGGGAACTCCTCCTCCAGTGCTGCTGCGAGCGCTCTCTCCAGTTATCATCCCGACTCCCACCACAGTTCTCAGGACCCGAGAACCACCGCAGGTCATCCTTCTGCGAGGGGCTGTGACCACCTCTAAATCCCCCGGGGGAGTAGCTCATGGGCCCCAGTCCTCCCTTTTTGGGACTGGCTCTGTAGGGCCCACCCTGGTTCTTGCCCTGCTGACCTCCCTCAGATCTGAAGTTCTGTCCTCGACCCTGGTCCTGGATCCTCCAGCTTTCTGGCTTGTCTGATGTTGCTCCCCTCTCCCAGCCACCTTGTCTAGCCCGGTAAGGCCTGCCAGAGTTTTCCATGGTTCACTTATGCTAAAACTGCAGGACAACATGTTCAGTTAATATGGAAATACTCCTTATGTAATCAAAAAACATCAAACTGTATGCCAGCAGGATCTCCTGCCAAACTTTTGACTTTGACAGATGTCCTGTCTTTGTAACAGCATCATGCCATTTTAGTTGCCTGTGCAGAAACTTTAATTGGCTGCAACTGCTCACAGCTTTCACAACTTATCATGTAATTCAGACCTCCAATGTTGCAGAACTTTGCAGCTAAAAAACAAACAAGAGACATTCGCAATTTAATTTAAATTCCTGTTTAATCAAGTACCAGACAACAGAGAACAGTTAGCTAATGGTACATTATGTAATTTTAGTCCTATATCATATCGTGACTTCTACCAACTCCTGTTAACCGTTAACAGACATTTATTGGCTGTGAAATGTTGACAGCTCTAAAATGAAAATATGACCCCTGTGGAAAACCTAACGCTAACGTTGATGCCTCTCGTGTTACCACACCTATCACTAATGTAACATCGCCGTTAGGTAAACTGTGCAGGAACAAATGTAACACAGGGTTAGCAACGACTCAAGTTACCTGGCTAACTGCACCGTTAGCCAACTGACCTAACGTTAGCTAACTCCAGCAGCTTGTTATGGCATGGTGTTAGCATACGCTAACGTTAGCTTACTAGCTTCTGCAGCCTGGTTTGCCTTTAACGTTACTTCTTCCTCGTTCTCGAGTTAACGGCGCATAACTTCACTAAGCATGCAGCTGCCACACCGGCAACAAGTTAGAGTTACTCACCAAACATAACGTTAGCTAACTTGCCACATAACTGTATCCCAGCTAACGTTACTGTTAGCTGCGGCTATTTAGCCTACTAGCTAGGACACATAACAGCTAGCTACCCAGCTAGCAACAGCTAGCGTTGCTGTTGTGTCTCACAGCTTTTTGTTCAGCGGTTCAACCTGCAGCTACAGTGAAGACAGCCACCAGTAAAGACGTCAGCGATAAGTATCCATGAATAATATTAAAGTCAAGTAGTTACCTTGTGCACAGAGGGCATACTTGAAGCCTGCTCAGGTCTGACTAGGCATGATCGCTTGTCTCGTACTGGAGTTTGAAAGGTGACGTACAGGCTGTGTGTTTTGTAGTCGTCAGCGTTAAAGTCCCGCCCACCGCGATGAACAACAGTCTTTAATAATAAACACTATCATTTAAACGTTATGAAATATTTTTATATTGTAATTAACTGCGTGTAGTTGACATGTCAGTTGAGGGAAACTCCTTGAAGCTAAAGTTGGAGCAATCTGGATAAGCTCCAATCTCCACTCTTTATTGTCAGTGTGTTACTGTTTTTGAGATGTTCCTTAGTTTTGCACAATAATAACAATAAAACACAGATTTTCCTATAGTTCTATATATAACCTGCATTCTAATACATTTTAATTCATCACATCATCATCATTTTCAGTTGTTTCATATTTAATGTATATAAATCTAAAGTGAAAACAATTTATTTACTTATGATGCATGTATACATCTGTGAATGTAAGCTAGTGACATTAATGTTTCAACATTAGGCTTAAAACATATATTTTTTTTACATTCTTTTTGTAAGGATAGATCTAATAATTTGTCTCATGAAATAGGCGTCCAGACAGCTAAAGGTATAACATATGGTTCAAGGTTTAGGATAATTAACTCTACATGGAACAAGTGATTGTTAAGCCTCGGTTGCCGGGGCGACGGGAGAAAGGTGCGCTGCAGGAGCGGGGAAGACCCCGGGAAAACTGACGTCACCAGACGGAACTCCCCTCGCCCGCATCCAGGAGACCGCCGCCGTGTGGACCTGGCCCCAGTAACACACAGCCAGTGGACTGGTGGCCGATGTGCGCGCAGGGTACCGGAGATGGTGTCCTTTGTGAGCGGTGGATGTCACTCCGAGACTGTGTACAAACGGAGACGGACGACCGGCGCGTCTCCTCCAACAGACGCGCTCACACCGGTCCACCAGCGGCAGACTGTCCGGCACAGAAAGCAGACACTCATGTCCAAGTTGAGTGACTCCGGTTTCGAGGAAGACTTGGGTTCCTCCCCGATTTCGTCCCCGGCTCGGATAGATGTGTCCCCGCTACGTTCAGACGAGCCTCCTGCAGGACAGCTGTCCACCTGGTACCTCCAGTACGGCGATATGGGATACAAGATCCAGAGGGAGAAGGAGGCGCAGTTTCATCCCTGCAAAAGCTTGGCACGCCAACCACAAGTAATTTATCTGCCATAATTGTTTACCAAAGATTTGCCTACTTTTCCATTTTATAAGAGAACAGCATGTAATCCAAAAATATGATTTTGTCATCTAACATAATGGGTTATACTTCTGAGTTATTAACATTGCCTTTTGGTGTTAGACCCAATATTTCAAATGCACTGTTTTATGCACTTAAGGACAAAAACACATTCTATCTTCAAGCCACTGTCAGTAAAATCCTCCTTTTTGTCTTCTATTAAATAATAGGTGTTGCTTTCAGTCTGCTGCTTATACAACTGGATTTTGTGTTTTACTTGCAGTTGACTGCAGAGGCCCGGTGTACACTCGTCAGCTGGCTCATCCCTGTACACAAACATTTCCGTCTGTCCTTTGAGTGCTGCTGCCTGGCAGTGAACATCATGGACAGGTTTCTGGCGTCCACGCCGGTGGCTGCTGACTGCTTCCAGCTACTGGGTGTCACTGCACTGCTTCTAGCCAGTAAACAGGTGCGTCTTTTTGAGCGTGGTAAATGCTTGAGGAACTGAATATAACTCACTCAAGCAATATAACTTACTCCCTTTTTCTCTGTCCGCCAAGGTGGAAGTGTGCTCCCCGCGGATCAGCCACCTCTTGTCGTTCTGCTGTGATGCTTTCAATAAGGAGCAGCTCTGCAACCTGGAGTGTCTCATCCTCCTCCGGCTCAACTTCCGCCTCGCTGCACCCACCCTGGCCTTCTTCCTGGACTATTACACTAACTCCATCGAGGCTGCCCAACATGTGTCTGAGAACGCAGGTGGCGATAGGTTTGCAAGAATGATTCCAGACTCAAAAAGACCAAGGCGGTGCAGCAACCTTGCACGAAAGGTGTGCGAGTTGAGTCTAGCGGACTATGCTTTCAACAAATACCCACCATCTCTGACTGCAAGCTGTGCACTGACGCTGGCCAGTGAGCTACTGAAAACTGAACAGGGGCTTGTAGAGCATGCAACAGTCCAGTCAGAGAAAAGGACGGGCAGTTTTGTGGATGAACTATGTACCCAACCAGCTTCTGCCCAACCACCCGAGAGCCCTGAGCTTTCTGAGGGAGACTCTCTGTCCTCTCTCAAGGGCCACTTCCTGTCTGTGAGTCCAGGGAGCTTCAACCACAGTCTGGCCCAGGAATGCAAAGACAACCTGAAGCTGCTGGTGTCATTAAACCAGGAGACATTGCAAGCGATGTCTGCTATGTGAATGAAAGTGTTGTCACCACTCAGATGTTAGCAAAATGCCAAATTCCCCCTCAATCATGGGGGTTATATTTTTGGGGTTAAGTGATGTTTGGTGTTTATGCAGATCTATCGATCTAATCTAAACCTCATGTATACCTCATACAACCAGCTGATTGCAGCTATTGAATGTTTTACACATAGCATAGTTGTTTTATATTTATTGACAGTCGGTTATTGTTTATCAGTAAAATATATTAATATATTCTGTTTATTTTAATTCATTCAAAATCAAAGTCATTATATTTACTGTATTTGCACTGACTTGCTGCAGGTTTATGAGTTCTGTTACTGTTGCAACCTCTTCAATGAAGGACCTGAAAAATGTACTGTAATAACTTTTGTAATATGAAATAAATAATCAGTAAAATGAATTTGTGTTGGTCTCTGAATGGATAATACAATGTGAAGCCATGATTTAAACTCCCCACCTGTTTGATTAAAGGCACACAAATCTGTCCAGATATAATGGACACTGTATGACATAAATAAGAATTAATTAAATTTGACCTCAAAATGCATCACCTACACTTAAAAGTTGTCTCTGTTGGCAGCTGTATCTGGATTTAATGAGCATAGCAGGGGTTTGTAGTCTGGGCATAAGCCTGCATTGCAGTGTTTGGACTTTTTTTTATTAAACTCATAAATAAATGATTGCTCTGTTATATTGCTGACAAGTTGACACAAGAGCCCATCCTTTCAGTCTGACATAAATCAAAATATGAGGTTACAGGCCCTCTTTAGGGATAATAGAAGAAATAAAGACCTTTCTCATAATATAAATTCTTTCTGAGGCTTATGAACTATTGTAGCTATTTGCCATGCAGGTCGGTTTACCCACATCTCTTTGCGTCACAATTTGAAACAGGAACTGTGCCAACTCAGCCTGGTCAACAATCAGCTTTCTCTGGTAATCCATTACGCGTGGCATCTCGACCTGCTGACACGGTGTCGACCACACAGGTGCATTCAGCGTTAAGGGCCAACCAGGCTTACTCTTGTTTGTTTACTAATGGAGGCATTTGTCACAAGTGTTTACTGAGCTGTCTGCTGTAATTGCCCCTTTCCTTTTCCACATCGCTGTAAATGAGACAAGTCTTGACCTAATTTGAATAGATATTTTACGCACAGTTGGATATAAATTACGCACTGAATGATATAGCCATATTAAACAAAGAATTGTTGATAATTAGAGAACCCTCTGTACAAATTCCCGACTGTGCCAATAACGAGCTGGTCTGTTTGATGAAGACTGTGAAGACAAAAGCTGAGGTCTTTAGTTTTATAAAACAGACAGGTTGGAAGGAGTTTACATGCCTTCTGGCATGGCGCAGGGAATATTTGGCCGCAGGCGGAGGGAGGGCAGGTCTAACGCAGAGAGCACCTGCTGTAATGGCGCCGCTACGCGCGGTACCACTTTACACTTCAGACCAGAAAAACCGTTAGTCTACACCAGTTTAATCTCCGAGGACGCTGTCCCTCCCTGGAGACCAAATAAGTGCATTTGATTGGGCTAAAACTATGAGGCCGCGGCACGGAGAGACACAAACCGGGAGAATTTCGTTTATATGAGCTCTAAATCAAACCATGATCCTTCAGTCCTGCAGCCAGAGCCGAGCGGATGAAGATGCACAGAGACAGAAAGGTGTTTGGTGCTATCTGCCCCAACCAAATGGGCCAAGAGGAGAGGAGAGCTGCAGTAAGCAAAAAGGTTTGAAATCTTTCTCTTTACATTAATGCACACAGCACAGCTCTGTTTAGTTGGGTTAACAGACTTTCTACCTGCAGGATAAAGTGTTGGTGCCAAGAAGCAGCAGTCCACTCACTGTGTACGTGGGGCTTCCCTGCATCATTGAACAAGGTATGCGAGTATTATGACTGAGCTTCATGCGCTATCTCAACGTGACAGCATGTGTAAATAAATAAATATCGAGGGTTGAATCATGCAGACACACTTTTTTTGTCTCACAGCTTTTTCAACAATTGCATGGGATGATTTGGATGACTGTGCGTCTGTGGTGAGACGGGAAAGCGACTCCCTCGGCTCTCAGGTGAGGAGAAAACAAAACTCATTAACTTATTAAGACATCTCATGTTTTTTTGTGACACCTGAATTTTCCCATTCAAATCCGCGCATTTCCAACTCTTCCAAAGAGACATAGGATGGTGGCAGATCCTCATTACTCCCAGGCTGTTAATGTTTGACACGATGTGCTGGAATTCTCCACGAATGAGATTGTTGTTTGCTCGTGACACGCAGTCTAGAGCTAATTGGCTGGACCTCACGAGTTTTGTCCACAAGCAGCCTCTTTTTGGCACAAGCTCACTGTGTGCCCAAAACACTTACGCGACGCCACACTCACTGAAATGACCACCGAGACATGTTCTGCCATAAAGCCACATTACTCTGCCTGGTCGTGGTGGGATTTTCAGGTGTGGGACTGTTATGGTTTCTTTGTTTACTGAGTTTTTAATTACATATATGTGTGTTTTAATAGTCGATTTTACCTTCCCACAGGTGAATGAATCTGATGCAGATGACCAAGATTTTGGAGATTATGCGCTGGATTTCATGGCAGGTGAGTAAAGCAAACTAAACTCTTCTACTCATGCAACATTTACATCTTTTGGCTGCTACTTTAATACTGATAATCATTATTATCATCTCTTTTATCATTGAGGAAGTCCTCAAAACTAAGACACATTGATTAAACCCCTCCATGTTTGTGTCCTCTGGCAGATTCTCCTGCCACACTGGAGAGCAGTCTGTCTCCAGCTGAACTGGTGCCATTTCAGGGATGTATCATACCTCCCCTCACCCCTCAGCGGTACTTTTCTTCAGAGGACAGCCTGGTTCACTCATCCACAGAAGCAGGCAACCCATCTGCCCAAGACAGAGCTCTGTGGAGGGGCATTTCCCAGTGCCAAGGTGCTGCGTTGGGAGATTCCTTGGAAGTCAACAATCAGGTAAATCCCTATTGTGGAGAATTATGACCAGTGTACAGTGTGAAAGTCTGGTCTCTTTTATCTGGACTTGATGGCTGTGGTGCACATGATAAGGAAATATTTATATGTAGATTGTGATGTGATTTGTCTAAATAGTACTATTTTTGATATATTAGAGTTAAACAAAAACTACCAGATACATTAATGGGGACCTTTGGTAATTTACTGGCTCAGTTATAGCCCCCCAAAATGGTTCTCAGGAAAACATCTTTTATTTTATTCAACCCAGTCTGATTTGAAAAGGTGTATACTGGAGAGTGTGTGAATTAGCATGCAATTCTTATGCCAAAAAACATCACTAAAAGTAGAATTGCCATGGGACTACACTATCCACACACAAAGATGTACATGAATTGGTTATGCCCAGGTAATGGAAAGGACTGAGCATCGTGTCCTCTGTCAGCATGACTGACCATCTTTGTCTCTGTGTGTCTGCAGCTCCATGAGACTCTATTCAGGAAACAGGAAGAGATCGGCTCCCTTCAGGAGAGAAACCTTCACCTCAGGCAGCTGGCCAGCCGTGCAAAGCACCTGGCCTCGGTACTTGAAGTGAGTACATGACTGAATACGTACACACACATTCATCCTGGATACAATATGACCTCTCATGCCTGTATTGTCATGAATTATGTCTAATCTTTATTTCTGTTGGATCTGCTCTTCTACTTTTTTGTTTTAGAAACTCATGACAGTCAGGGACCCACATGTAAGAGAGCCGGTGATGCCTTGCGGTGATAATACTTCACTGAGTCCTTGTAAGCGGCAGCGACTGGATGAAGGATATGAAACCGAGTCTTCTGACTCAGTGGAGGACATGCTGAGGGACATCAGCACACGCTGCAATGCTGTGCTGCACGGCAGCGCTGCTACTGGAACAAGACCCCAGCAGGAATCAGAGACTATTCGCATGTACGGCTCATTCTCAGGCCTACAGACTATTTCCAAAGACTGCAGTGTGGATGGAGCCGAGCCTGAAGAAAGCGTCTCATCTTTCAGAACCTCTGTTCGAGAACACTGCACAATAAGGACTCAGGTGTTTCCTCATGGACGCGCCTTCACCTCAAGGACTCAGCAAGGAGGGTACCGCTTTCGCTGGGTTCCCGACCACAGTTGAAATCAGGGTTAACAGATGTAAAATTCAAGTAATTTGTGCTTCTGATCAGTGATTTGAAAAGTGCCATACGTCTACTCAAGACTGGAAGGAAATGTGGGTGGGCAGGGACTGTTAATGCTTAACTAATAATCTATAGTGATATCTGTGAATGATTAAATGATGTCTTCCTCAGGTAGCTTGTAAGCTAATCAGTCAGAGGTGGTGCCTGACCAAGGAAATAATACTGCCTAAGCTTTTGTTTTCATTGTGTTTCTGTTTACACATCTCAAAATGTAATGATCTAGCCAAACAATGGGGCAATGTCATGTTTATTTATACATCTCGCATTATGTTCTGTGTTGGGAAATAGAAATGACTCTACAAGTTTGGAAATAAAAGTTATGTTTTATAAAGCTGAGTTGTTTGTAAAAGAGGTGATATGAAAACAAATGGAAAGAAACTGTTTTCAACGTGAACTTTTCTTGTTTGAGCAGTGAAACAAATGTGACCCAGTGACCTTTAAGAAGCAGGGACTTCCTTCCCTTTTGTCTCTGTCTGAGTGACTGTGTGGTCTGAAGAAGGGCATTCGGTCATGATGCATTGCAGCCAACATCCTTGTTTATATCCTTCTTTTTGATTTTTCATGATTTATTGGTCTTCCACACCAGTGGTTCGGGGGCCCCCCAGGGGTCCTTTAATTAAATTAAAGGACCCGTTAAAATTAAAGTTTTTCAATGACCAGTTAGAAGTTCCAAAGACCAATGGGAGAATGTGTAAGAATTAGTCTTGAATGATGCTGTTAATCTGCCAACCTACACTATAGACAGAAATGATTCAGTCTTATCAGACTGGGATCCCTGCCACTCCATTTTATCAAATAGGGGTCTATGGCCTGATATTTATCAATTTGGGGGTTCCTGACACCAAAAGGTTGAGAACCACTATCATAAACCATGCTAGTAACACTCAAGCAGTATAAACATTCTTCTGACATCATAACTATCAAATTCTTCCCCCAAATTCGATAGCACTTATTATAAAGTGCTAACTGATCACTTACAGGGTAATTTTGATGATGAATCAGATACTTACAGGTTCTTACTGGTACTTAAATGTAGGTGCAGTGGAAGAAAATAAGACTATGGGGAACAATAAAACTGAAGTTTGGGGGAAATGGTTTTTAAAAACAACAAATATTCTGCAGAAGCTATAACGTAGTTATGGTAAATGGATTTCACAGTTACAATATGCTACTACATGGGCTCCAATGTCATCTGAGGAGGAGACGCTAACCTAATTAAGTAACATAATAATACAGTATGTATCAATACTAACGTAACGATGTAGGTGGATCAAACATAGCATAACATTTTTTAATGTTAATGAGGAATCTAGAAACGATAATTTTAAAGCTTTTACTTACACTGTAAGAATAATACAGTTATTTAAAAACATTTATTCTTCCGCTACACCGTAGGAACAAATGTGCTGGATGCAATATAAAGTGTTGACTGTTTTTAGAGAATGAAAAGAATAAGAGATGAACTTATCTTTAGAGGATGTGACCTCCTGACCTCAGGGTATCTGTGATGTGATCTTCCTCTAACCTCACTGTTGAGGGCTTGACCTGTTAAAAAAAAAAAAGTAGGTTTGTGTGAGGTAGACCGGTCAGGGGGACAATGTCAAATCTCAGGTCTGACACCTGTTTAAACTTCCCAAACCTGGGCCTGTTTACTTTAGAGCAGTGAAGGCAGCAATGCAGCCCACGAGCTGGAGACAGTTTACAGTACCGCTGCTGACTTTGACAACACAAGTGAAGATAAGAAGAAGCTGATAGTGAGATGGATGTCTGATTAACACAGGCCTGACATTTCATCTTGTGGAAAAACTACATCCCTGAGGGAAGTTAGGTATGTGTGTGTAAACAATTACACTAATAAACAATTGACAGGGAATCTGGATAATGAATTTAAGTTGCATCTTACATATTTACAACAAAATTAAGAATATTTAATTTTTTGTGATGGTACCTAAATAAAAGACTTACAATGTATTATATGCCTCTACAAGCGAAATGGTGCTGTGATATTTTATATCAATGCTGTCATACATCCAAGAGCAGAGCTGTGTGTATCCTGATGTGTGAAAAAAGAAAATAAGCCAAATTTACTTAAAAAAAAAATATATTATTAAAAATAAAAAGCCCATTCTGCAGTAAAATGGTCCTCGTCAGTATTTTACTATATGATGCTTTTGGATTAATATTAATGTGTATGTTGCATTTTGCTATTATTGATGTATATTTGAACTACCTTTTATACAGTTGTGTAGTTTAATCTACAGCAGTGCATCATATTCTAATTATATAAGATCATCTATGTTTGTTGCGTCACTGTCCTGTAGAACAACGACACTCTAAAAAACAAAATCAACTTTTTATGAGCTCAGAAAAACAATCCTGATTTCAACTTTTACAAATAATCTAAGAGGGTTTTTAAATAGCTGTAGAATTTGCTCAACTCATAAAGGGACAATTAATTAAGGAGTCAGAAACTGTCTAATGTTGGCTAATGTAGTGGCATAGAAAGTGCATTTGTCTCTGAGATGTAGTGGAGTAAAGGTATAAAGTTGCATTAAATGGAAACAGGGCTGCTCAAGTAAACTACTACTTAAAACTACTTAAGTCAATATCCACCACTGCTTATATCAAATAATCATACAGGCCTATTTTATCATGGAAAAACAGGATAAACATAATGTCTGTGCAGCATTTAGACATGGAGGTCCCTGACTAACCCTGACCAGTTTGATCACCGTTAACCATTTAAATTCCAGCTGCCAACGTAAATTAAAAGAGGACGCTTGTTGTCAGCCCTCAGCCCCTCATACAACAGCGCAGACCTTCACGTCAGCTTAGCTCGACACCACTTTTACTGCAAACAAATCCGTTTGTCATTGACCAGCAGTGCTGTGGAGAGCAGGCACGCAGGGCCAAGCTTTGTTTAAGCTGGTTGTGACACATTTGACCGGTTAAGCTACCGCCAAACAGCGGGGGACAATGCGGGAGGGGAAAGGGAAACACAGACACAATGAGTTTCTAAGGTGACTAAAGCCAAACCCTGGAGGGAGGCTGCGAACCAGACCCAGTCCCGCGGGAAAGAGGCTGGTGAAATAAAGTCATTTCTTATTCCTGTGGATGGATGCTGATGTAGGCGGTGGGGAATATTACAGAGGTGCTTCCTGGGAAATATCACTTTTTCTTACGCATCTTAAAACATACTATTAAGTAATAAAATGATAGGCTAATATGATCATTAACACGTACAGACACACAATAATGAAACATAGCCTACATACGTTTAATGACCTAATAGGCTACCGTACAGAACTTAATTACCTACAGCAGTATTCATGAGCAAACGATGTTGTTGTTACTGTGAATGCAGGGATAAGACCGTACCGTTAATAACTGATCTACATATAATATATATATTATATATATATATATATATATATATATATATATATATATATATATATATATGTGGCCGCTCAGACTGCAGTGTATTGACCTCTGTTGATATGTGGATAAACGGGGTTTACTTTATGAATCTGGGGGCTACAGGCTTCCTGCTGCACGAGCTGTAATGGAGCTGCTCCGTCAGCACGCGGCGGGATGCTGCGTGCCGTTGAGAGCACGCACCTGTCTCCCAGTTCCGGGCTCGCGCTCGGGGTGTGAGCGCATATGGAAGTGGCAGGTGGCGAGAGCGTGCGCTGCTCGCGCCGTTCAGCCCACTTAGCGCCAGAGCAGTTCGTCATTAAACGGTGTGGCCCGCGGACACACGGCCTCTTCCCGCAAAACGAGGCGATGGTTGGAGAGAGTCGTTGAATGATGGGAGCAGTTTCTCCAAAATGTTTATTAAATAGGATTTATTCATTTTAAAATAACTGTATTTTGTTGATGTTGCTGTGTTTGCTGATTTTCTTTACTGTGAAAGTTGTAAAAAAAAAAAATGTAGATTATGCTATATTATCGTATTTTAGTTGCTAAGTAATATTTTACTTTATGACTAAAATAAAATAGAATAAAATATTTTTGCATAAGCTCAAATATTTATCTTATTTTTATCTTCAGTTGTTAATTAAAATATTTCCATTAACAACTAAAATAAAATACAAAATATTTAGCCTAGCCTATAAACTGTAAAACTACAAACTGCTACAAATTGCTACATTTTGTTAATCATATCTATCATAATGTGACAACAATATACGGTTACTATGGTAGTACAAACAACAAATATATTTACTATTGTTATTGTTGTTGTTGTCTCTTTTGTGCAGTAAATAATATTTACATTTATTTCCTTTTAAGTGTTCTTAAACATGACTCTTTGGTTTAAATCCCTTGTGTTGAAACGTGCTGTATGATATAGACTACCCTGATTGCCTTTCCTGATAATCATCATCCTTAGTATTTATAGATTATATTTTCTTCAGCCAACCGATAAAGGCCATGGTGGGCTGAGTCTGATGGTTTAATAATAAAACCTGTGAAAGGAATAAAAGTATGTCCTCGACTGGGTTATTAACTGATTACATGTAGCCGCCTCAACCTTTACAACATTACCGCGTTGCTCTTTTTGTGTGTGTGTGTGTGTGTGTGTGTTTTAACTGTGTCTATTTGTTTCCAGTAGAGACCAGTACGCGGAGGGAATCCTTGAACAGGAGTGGGCCTACTTAATAAAAAACTATCCACCAATCGCAACTCAGAGGACGGTGCTTCCCGCTCCGCCGTCCGCCCGGGGACAGTATTTAGGAGCGGAGTCCGTCCAGGAGAGCAGACAACAGGTGCACCGGGCAGGACCGGGTCCTAAAGCGGTCTCAGAGGGAAGCGGATGAGGTTTTACACATGTAATGGAAACTGAAGGTCCGTCTGAAACGTGGAGATTCAAATGACTGAGTAAGTAATCTATACAATATTTATTTTTTAAATAGCCTAATAGGTATTTCCTTAGTATCACTTAAGAGCTGTTGCTGCTGCTGCTGCTGCTGTACTAGGCAACCACTTCAACACGTCTGTCTCAAACAGGTTTGTTTTACTGTTAAATGTTCATTAAATAACACCAATTTGCTGCTACTCATTACATTAATAAAATAACCACAAACTCTCTGAATAATTAAGTGAAAATGCAGATTTCATTATTATTTTGTAGTTAAGCCTATGAGAAAGTTGTTTTTGATGATAATGAGATAATGAGTGTTTTTGTTTTCATAACCAGACAATATGAGGACAATGCTGAGAGATTACGTAGGGAGGAGAAGACGCTGTCTCTTCAAGGTAAGAGAGGAAATCTGGATCAAAAACAATCAACACTTTAAGTTTTTTTTTTGCCAGCTGCATCCTCCCCTCCGTCTCCTGCAGCCGGTGGTGACAGTGTGGCAGTGTACTGCTGCAGACTGTGTTATCTGATTGACAGCTGTCAGCTGCACTCCTCACTGCTGCTACCAACTGACCTCAAACATCCTGCAGACAGTGCCACATGCACGTCACTCACCTGTAGAATAAAAAGTGAACCGTTGAATAAAGCTGGGAGGAGAATGAACCAAAAAAAAACCTTAAATTCTACATTAGCTCAATGACAAACATTCAGCATCAGTTCAACATAGTCAAATCCATGCATTTGCATATAGTTGGCCTATGAGTTGTGACTGGTTGGGAGGCAGTGTAATGTTAGCTGACGTTTTCTTTTGCCAGCTCACACTGCTCTGCTACCTTAACAGTTACATTTAACTCAAACTCTACATTTGAGCGTCCTACAGGATGATTTTTGAAGATTGAGATGTTTAGAAATTAAGTTTGTTTTGAAATAGATGCAGCAATTTGGCAGCTTGTCTGATCTACAATAGAACAACAGACCTTTTTCGCTGCAGCCATTTTGACATGAAATATTAGGGTAAACACGTTACCAATGACACTAATGAAGATTTTTCTATATAGAACCTTTCCAGTCAGCCAACATACACGTTTACAGCACCGTGTTTGAACTGAATGCAACAGAACCTTAAATATCATTAGTAACACCTGTGTTTACCCTACTATTTCAAGTCGAGAAGGTTACTGTGAAAAAGGTCTATTTGGAGAGATAATATTGCCTTTGTATGACAAACTGTTTTTCCGCTCTTATCGTGGTTGGCTGGTAGGCAGTGTCTTGTTAGCTGGTTGATTCTGTGTGTGCCAGCTTACCTGCTGCTGCCCTCCAACTGTCCATTTAAATCAGCAGCCCCAGAGGACTTCTGAAATGAACATGTGTTACAAACAGTAGGTTAAGCTTCAGAGCTGCAGTTGCACTTTGGATGAAAGAAGCTGTTTTTCTGCGGCCATTCATCAGACTATTAACCAATATGCATTTGTGTTTCATTACTTGCAAGTTGGCATCAACATTATGAGTCTTCATTTAAGATGTGGATGTGGTTTCATTTTTAAACAAAGGACCAGCGCGTAGGATTTAGTGGTATCTAGCGGTGAAGTTGTAGGTTGCAACCATTTGATTACAGCACAGCCTTACACGGGAGTAGTAGAAAGAACTCACAAAAAAAAAAAAAAAACGCACAAGGCCCAATCTAGAGCCAGTGTTTCATTTGTCTGTTCTGGGCTACTGTAGAAACATGACAGTGTCTGTAGAAGAGGACCCACTCTTCTGTAGATAAAACAGCTCATTCTAAGGTAACAAAAACACGGATTATACACTAATGAAAACATACCTATGACTATTATATTCCATTTCTGCTAACAGATCCTCCTAAATGTTACACATTGGACCATCAAAACGTGAAAAACCTGCACAAAAGATCCTGAGCTCATTAACTAAATCAGATAATTATGAAATCATTTTATTCTTGAATGGATGTTTTCAAAATATTCAAGATTCAAATCAGTCAAAATGGGCCAAATTGATATGCTTCACCGTAAGAAATAGACTTTAATGTAAACATTAGAAATAGATGGTACAAAGCACAGACTAAGCCAAAAAACTGAACATTTGTAAAAATCCAACACTTCAATGGCTAAACAATCCTTCAGCTGCAGCAGTGGTCATTATGTTCCTTATGACTGTCAGTATCAATCACAGGATGGTCCCCACACATACAGACAAACACATACTCTCACAAATGCACATACAATCTGACTAGCCTCCAATGTGACTTCCATTGCCTTTGTGGCCCAAACTAGTGGATCTTTTCACCCTACGTGTTTCTGGAGCGAGAGACATCACCCAACCACACTCGCTTGCGACAGTTCAGAGTCCAGTCATTCCTCTGCTGTCAAAGCACAGGAAACACCGGCGTAACACGGACGTGTCCACCGGCATCTATCGACAGGCTCCATCATAGCTCCACCCGTTTCTTGAGGATGATTTCTCGCACCAGCGCCGTGGCCTCCTGACGAACACTCTCCATGGGCTCGTCCGTCCGCCAGAACCGGACCACTTTCCCCTCAGGATTCACCAGAAACTTCCAGAAGTTCCACTTTGGGATTTTCTTCACAGAATCTGAAACACAACACATGACCAGACACTCATTAAGGGTACCGAATATAACCGACGTTTAGCAAGAAACTCTGATGACGTTCTGCATGTTGCCAGAGATTATCATGAATCAGCTTGTAAATACTGATTATGAGTGGTGGATTGTAACTAAGTACATTTACTCAAGTATTTTGGGAGGGGGAGAAAAAGCAGAATGTAGGTGTTTAGTTACACTTGAGTATTTCCAATATGCAACTTTATACTTCTACTCCAAACATCTCAGTACTTTTTACTTGACATTTGCTGAGCATGTGTTTTTACTTTGGATACTTTAAGCACATTTTGCTGATATTATATACACTGTCACTTAGGTAAGGATTGAATGCAGGACTATTTCTTATAGTAGAGTATTGGATCTGAATACTTCTTCCACTAATGCTGATTATTGTTCTTTGCTTATGTCAAACTGACTGATTAATCAAATAAAATCAAACCTGAACCTAAAAGCAGCTGATGACTTTTTGCTAATCTCTAATAAAAGTGGGTGATATGGATCAAATATATATAATATATCAATATATATTAAGATTTAGTGCATTTCCCAGCCACTAGGAAACAGTTCATTTAAAAACCAGATGGGAATGGCTGTTCCAGTTAGTGTAATATGGGGACAAATCGAGAGCATAATTATGTCATTTGTGTGATATGTTGTATGGGACATGGCAGTGTCCTTTCTGTAGAGCCAGTGTTCATTAAAGTCTTTTAGTTGTATTTTAAAAGTCAAATATAAAAGAAATCTGCTGGTTCAAGCTTAACAAATGTTTTCCAGTATAAACTGAATACTACTGACCCTGGATCAGGCTAAGTAAGCAAGTAATCAGTGATTTATAGGCTAAAATAATAACAGATTTTTATTTGGACAGATTACTTTATCATACAAATAACATTTAGTTGCAGCCCTGTAGTAAAGGTGCAGGTCCTGGCAGACAGCTGCCATAAAGTCATCATTTGAAGCTAATGTATCAAGCTATAATGTGAATATAGACTTTAATCATAGTGATGGCATACTGTCCCTTCAAATATTCAGTGCAGTCGTGTCTATTTCTAAAATATGGCGCAGCAGACAGATGTGGTCTCATGTCTTTCTGCCAACCTGTGAGGAATTTGAAGGCAGGGTCCGCCTCTGAGCCCATTATTTTGATCCTGCTGAAGAAGGGGAAGGTGACGCCGTATGTGGACTTTGCGAAAGCCTCGATGTCCCGGCTGGTCCCGGTCTCTGTGTCCCCGAACTGGCCGCAGGGGAAGGCCAGGACGTTGAAGTGAGAGGTGCCCAGCTCCCGGTGGAGCTCCTGCAGAAACATGTAGTTCGCCTCCGTCTGCTCGCTGTGACTCGCCACGTTTACAACCAAAGACGCCTGCACAGGGGAGGAAAAACAGGGTATAACCATGCAATAAGAAACGCTATAAGAAATAAGTTTAATGTAATGAAACCGACCTTCAACTGACTCTGGATTACTTAGACAAAGTTTGCACAGATTTCTTCTCACACTGAAACTACTGGTGATGATGTGGACTTACTTTTCCTCGGTACTTCTCCAGAGAGACCGTCCTCCCCTTCGCGTCTTTGACCTCGAAGGAATAAAAATCCTCTGGTTTTCTGGGCTTCACCAGCTGTGTCTGCAGCAGGAACAAACAGCCCACACCGACTGTCATGCTCAGCAGGACCGTTAACTTCTTCGCTTTGGGGTTGGAGGACTTGGTAGGGTAGCCCCCTAAGGCCTCCATCTTGGAGGGGCAAGAACGAGCCTCGGTCGGAGAACTGGGGGCTCCTGCCAAAAGTCTGGGGGCGGATCGATGAGAGGAACTGAGTGAAGTTAGACATCACTACGACAATACCGGAAGCTACACGACTGTTCCTTCAAAATACGAAGACATTTCAAATTTTAATTAATTTTGTACCCAACTACTAAAGTAAAAGTACTCATTATGCACAATGGTCCATTATAAAGTAACATACAGTACATATAAATAATATATCATAATTTATTAGTTTTGTATTTAATGTAGTGGAATAGAAAAAGTTGCATAAAAGGTAAATACTCAAATAGTATCTACTTAGTTACATTCTACCACTGCTTAATAGCATCTTAGTAACTATAGCAACATATTAGCTACTGGTTTTAATATTAGCATATGAAATCTAATTGCACTGTTTAAAAGTGTCATGGTACTAACATGCAATGTACAGTATGCTTATCAGCCCATTTGAACTGGAACTGGAGGGGAAATATGTGAGGAAAAAGGCATTTACAATGCTTTTACTTTGAAGGTTTTGCCCGAAAGTTGTGGTCTTTATGTCGTTTCCTTGGCACTACTGGATTTATGTGGACAGTTGTCAGCATTTTGAGACTATTGGAGTTTGTGTTTAAATTCTTTGCTGTTTTTATTCTCTCAGGGACAAAACGACGTCCAACACGTGTCTTATAAGCGGTGGCGGAGGCGGATCATCCAGAGGAGCAGCAGTGAGGGTCCTGCTGCGAGCACCCCGCTGGCCACTGGGCGGCAGTGTGAGCCCAGCTTTGAGTTTGATACAGTCTGCCAGAGACTGGAGCTGGACTCCCCACCGAGACACCATGAACCAGGGCACAGGGTCCGACAGGGAAACCTTCAAGGTATTATTTAAACAACACACCATATCATAGAAGAAAGTACCTGTCTGTGGTACTGATAATACACTACTTCCATATTACTTTATTTTACTAGTTACTTTCAGATTAAAATGTTAGATTATAGAGTATGCTTGTAATAATGTATAATGTAATATTAATCATATAAATGACAACACATTGTTTAAGATTAAACCAGATATTCTCAACCTTTTTATCTTGTGAGCCCTTACAAATATCATATATGAGTTGTTAGAGACCTCTTACATGGTTTTATTTCAATAACTTCAAGGCCCAAAGAGGTCAAACTATCCAATATAGCTTTTTTTCTCTCATTAGTAATCTCAACACCTTGCAGTTGTATCTTATGATCCTTTGGGGGGACCCAACCTCTAGATTTGGAACCAGATAAGATAAGATGAGATAAGATGTACCTTTATTGATCCCCGTAGGAGAAATTCAAATTAGACACACCAGCAGGGGAATGTGAATATGAAAAATATATACACAGTATGCAATATATATATATAACTAAACTAAACTGTACATGTGCAAACTTAAAGATAAATAGCTTGCAATAAAGTTTACATAAACCACTGCATTAAACTAACAGTAGGCCTATAGTGACTGCAAACAAAAGTCGCTCCACCTCCAGCAGCTACAACAGCAGTATTAACAATCTAACAATGTCATATAATAATATGTCATAAAATAATGTATCAGTTACAGTTTTCTGCAAAACAAGACGCCTACTTTTACTTTTGATACTTTTGATCTAAGTACTTCTGCTTAATTGTGTGGTCAATTTAAATTACATTGCTACTTTGAGAAGTACAGGGAAGAAAAGGAAACATGTTTTTAATTCAGACTTGCATGCAAACACCATAAAAAAACACATTTGAATCAATTCGAAATATGTTTTGGTTCTTTGCCACAGTCGTACTGTATGAAGACACAGATTGTTTAGTTTTTCACCATCACATTTTTATGTGGCATAAAGTAATACTTAAACTAGTAGTAGTTAAGTACCAATCTTTTGTGAGAGATCTAGACTGATGTTTAACTGCATTACATCATTTTTATGGTTGAAAAATGCAATAATGTGCCAAAAAAGTGTTTAGGTTATTTGTGTGTCAGTACATTGTGCACCCTGCAGCACTGTTAACTTTGAACACCACTATGGGAACCTTACCAGTGGTGAGGTTACCAGTGTTGCATTGCTAAGCGGGTGGTGTTGCAGAGTAACTTTATGGTTGAACTGTAAAATACGCTGCCTCCAATATATATCCTGGTCATAACTCTTACACTGCCATAATCGAGGGCTGATTGCTAAAAATCTAAATACATTTTTATGGGAATAAATGAACACAGGTTGATAAATCACCACCAGAATTAAAACTAAATTAACTAAAAATAACCAAAATAACCAATGTAGGAGTTGTTTATATTTGTTTTGTGTTATAATACAAATAATTATTACACATTACTAAACAATTGTCCAGCTGTCTCACCTTGTGGACACAGTAGATCCATTGCAGCACCATTTTGTGATGTAATAAGATAAGACAAGACAGACTTCATTGATCCCACACTGGGGAAATTTGCTTGTTACAGCAGCTCAAGATACAGCACAAGATACAGATAAGAAAATACACATAAAATAAAAATAAAATAGTAAAACACAAGTTCTAATAGGAACAGAAAATAATTATTATATGTACACTATATACAACTTTTATATATACAGTTATGTGTGATGGAATATTGCAGAGATAATTTACTAAAATAATATGTATTAAATATATTGTCTTGAAAGACGTGTTAAATTGCACAGAGATTACAGGCAAGGAAGTGGCACAGCGTAAATGTAATGTATTCTATGATATTATTTTGTCCCAATCAGAGACAGCGTTGGCTGGACAGGTGTCCCACCGTGGCGATGTCACTCCACTGAACACACCCCGCTTTACAGAAAATGCAGCAGAACAGGTTTGTTTAAGGAACTTGTAGCTTTGGCACTTTTGTAAGATTTTTATCATGTGTTATGTGATCATATCAATAATAATGTTGACAGAAAATGAGAAACACAACAAAGATCTGTTTTCTTAAGGTTAAAAATGGCCTAACATGGTCTTACTCTTTCAGAAAAACTGCGCACAGTCATTGCTAATGCCAACCTCTGATGAAATGAGTATAAACATGATATAAAATACAAAATCTAAAAAGAATCATTTGTTTTACAGGGATGGGTGTGGAGAGTGGCAGCTCAAGAACATGCAAATGCTCAACAGGCTGGTACGGCACAAATGTCACACACACACGCACGCACGCACGCACACACACACACACACACACACACACACACACACACACACACACACACACACACAAAGAGAAATGATTGATTACCTGAATGATATGTAGACCAACACTGCATGATGTCATACCAGGAACAATCTGCAGAACTGCAGCAACCGAAACTGTCTGAGGACTGCGGGAGGTTTATGTTTATGTGTATGTTTGCTGATATGATTGTCTACATTATCTCCAGCGGAGGTCATTAGATGTCCATCTTGTAAGGTTTATGGATGCCTAGACAAATTAAATGCAAAGAACAAGACATTTGAACAGCAAGATAGGAACGTTTGATAGAAATCATTGTCAAGTCTCTGTAACCAAAATGGGCTTTAATGTGTGTGTCTCTAAAGTCTCTACTGGCCTCAGCCCTCAGTCAGGGGTTATGAGAAAAACTGACACAGCAGAGTGATTTCATGTGAGTTACCATCAGTGAAAGTGTTTTGTGTCACTGTGGCTTTATATTTAATATGTTTCCAATGCAGGTTCTGATGAGAGAAGACATGAGTTGCAGCCATTCACTGTTCTGGACAAAGCTTCTCTGAGTCTGCAGGGAAAGTCAGCGATGGAGTTGGCTGCACCGTCACTGCTGAACGACTACTGTAAGCTAAGATACTGATCCTCCATTATTCTCACAGAATAAAACCTTTGAGCCTGTGTTCTGTTTCTGTTCCTGTGTTTGAATGACAAAGCTGGTGTTTTTTTATGGTCAACAAATCCCATACAGGAAATTGTGTGTTTATCAAGGGACTATTTTCAGCCAAGATTAATACATTTCAGTCAGGAGAGACTTCATTAAAGGTCCAGTGTGTAAAACATTTATGAGGATATACTGGCATAAATGTATGAGTAGAATATTCATAGGTTTTCATATAATAATCTCCTGAAAATAGGAATTGCTATGTTTCCATTACCTTAGAATGAGCTGTTTCTATTTACAGTCACCTTCCATGTAGGCCACCATGTTTCTACAGTAGCCCAGACAGGGGGTTTTGCTTATTCAACGGCATTTATAACATTGTTATAGCAGATAATGATTCAGTACTCAAGCACTCATTATTATTATTATTATTATTATTACATAATCCTTTTCATTAATAATTATATGTGGCATAGCAAACCAGCAACAAATATATCCTCTTAACGTCGGGGGTGAAACACTTAGTCAATGAAATGCTGTCAGTTTAGACTCATCCTGTTAATACTTTGTCAGGCACCTGACAATAGTAGTAGTCCTTCTCTCTTCTCCATCTCTTTCCCACAGACACTAATCTTCTCGACTGCAGTTGTAATGGTATGATTGCATTAGCACTGGGCTCTTCTGTTTACCTTTGGAATTCAGAAACTCACGCTCTGGTGGGATCTTTGGACCCAGGACGACAATCAGACCGTCAGTCTATCTCGTGTCTGTGCTGGAGCAGAGATGGCAGATCTCTCTGCATTGGGACCAGGCGAGGGGAGATACAGGTAAATGATTGGGAGCCTAAAATAAACAAGTGACTAGAGGGTGGAAACTGATTCATATAAAGGGTGGTACGGGGGGCCTGTGAAAGTGGAAGTGTAACCTAACCTAGTTGAATCAGCAGGACGACAGTTTGTGGTGATTCTCTCTCTTTGACTTTTCAGTTGTGGGATGTTGAACACCAGCAGAGTGTGAAATGTCTGCCATCACACCTGTCTGTGGTAAGAGCTCTTTCATGGAAACAGCAGTTACTCAGCAGGTATGTGTCAATATACTAAAAATGACCCATGATGAAGGTAGGAAAGACTTTTCTTATGCTTTTATCTCATTCTGACTTAACTATCCCTGGATCATTTACAAGAACCCATTCCAAGGTTCTTGTTATCACTTATAGAGCTCTGAATGGGTATTATAATCTAGTTTAATCTGTATTTATGTAAGTTGCTTTATTTCTTCCGTTAAGCACTTTGTGGTGTTCTTCTCTTGAAAGATCCTGTATGAGTAAAGCTACTTCCTTTCTTACTTACTTCTTAACTCTATAACTTCATTAAATCAGGAATGACACAGAAAACCAATTGGTTTCACATTAAAATCTATACTGGTTTAATGCTTTTAACAAAAGAATATGTAGCTGCTATAAAATGGTTAGTATCTATATGAGGTGTGCAGCAGTTATTCAGGGGAATGACAGTTTCCACAATCTTACAGCGGCTCTGTTCTTGGACGTATCCATCACATTGACCCTCGGGCTCCAACACCTCTGGTAGGTGCAGCCATCCAGAAGGATGGGATCTGCAGCCTTCAGTGGTCGCCAGGAGGCGACTGGCTGGCAAGTGGCTCCACAGAAGGCCTTCTGTGTATCTGGGATGGTGACATCACAGGGCTCACAAGGTTACATCAGCCAATCACTACAATGAAACAGCCCAGCACTGTTAAGGTCAGTGTATGCTTCATGATTTTAATTTAATATTCAGCAGGTAATGTTTGCCATCTTAATCAGCATGTTTGCATGGTGACATTTGCAGGTATTTGGGCATGAGACAAATTGAAGGGTAGGGCTTGATGAAAAGTCAGGGGATTACAATTTATCCTGAAGGGAATATGAATGTATATACCAAATTTGACCTACCGATCCACATTGCCATCCGTACAGCCCCACCACTAAAAACATGAGCTGGTGGTTGGTACTGTAGTGTCTTACTTGCTTGTAAAAGAACACCTGCATTACTCACAGGATCGACACAGCTACAATCTTATATTGCAAGCAGCTCTGTTTTCTGACTTATTGATGACTAACCGTGGCTTGTGTGAACTGAACTAGTTTGTTAGTAGTTATTGGTGTTATGTTTGAGGGTTTAGCTATTAATATACAGGAGTTAAAAATACTGCTAGTTGATCCTGCAGCTATTCATTGGGTGTTCTGCTTAAACAACCAGACAATCTGCTGACCATTGTGCATATGCTGGTGTATTGATTGAGTTTGTGCGTTTAGGCAATGGGATGGTGTCCATGGCAGAGAAAGATGATCGCTACCGGAGGGGGATGGAAAGATGGTGAGCTGAGAATCTGGGACACAGATTCAGGGACTTGTGTGACTTCTGCCAACACAAATTCACAGGTGCTTAAGATTCACATTATAGCGGAGGTGTTTTCATAGTGTACAAATATCAGATAGATTATTGCTAATGACTCCATTTGCAGATCTGTTCTCTACAATGGGCTGAAAAGAAGAGATATCTGGTTACAGGTCACGGCCTTCCTCAGCACCACATCACCTGCTGGACCGGGGAGTTTCCTTCCCTCAGTCCAACCTACCAGTTCACAGGTTAGAAATACAACTACAGCCCTCAACAATGATGTACATGCTGAAGTAATGGGAATCTAGCAGCATCAGTGTGACAGTTGGACCACTGCTGCAGTTTTGTCATCTATCACTCTGATATTTAATAGTCATTTTGTGCTGATTCATTCATGTCCCAGGCTTCAAGTAAATGCGAAACTATGAATTAAACACATCAAAAGTCACTGCGTTTGATATGAGACGTCACAATTTCCTGAGGTATTGTGACTTGTCAGGGGCAAATCCAGAAGATAATTGAAAATACATTCATGACTTTCTAAATGTTCAGCAATTGTGTTATTCATTTACTTACAAATTGCAGTTACTCTGGTGGTGATTTTTTGCCAGAAAATCTGAATGAGTTTTCATTTTCATTCACTTCACTATTCAGTCTGACATTGTGCTCATCTTGGCTGTTTCCTGTTTGGGAAGGGGGGCTCTTTTGCAATAACCAGTACAGAGTGAGGGGCGTATGACGTTATGAGAACGTTTTTCACATCAGAAGAAAAATGGCGCTAGAATCTTTTAGACTTTTTTGCATTGCATTGAATTTATTACGTGTTCAATGGAATGTAATTGGGACATGCAAGTGAAACCAAACCCATTAAAGATGACAACATATGAATTCTTTGTCAGAGTTAGTGCTTCTTTGTTACTCCGTTATAGTGGTGAAAGTAAACATTTAGACAGCTCTGTTTAATATAGGAAAGAAGCTGTTTAAATGTCAAAGTTCAACCTTGTTGTTGTTTTTTCAGGTCATTCTCAGCGAGTCCTGCATGTGGCCTTAAACTCTGACAGTACTCAGATCTTCTCTGCTGGAGCGGACCAGCGCTTTCACATCTGGGACATATAATTATCAACACCACCAAACATGGACGGTAAATGTTGTTGATATCTGGCCAGACCTGTGTAAATGTTCACATACAAGTAGCTCATTTTCTTGGATATGCCAAGTTGTAGAGGATGCCCATTTCCTGAACTAACCACAATGTCAAGCTAGCTTACCACAGTTATTTATTATCACCCTAACTTCATGAACCACAACTGAATGGTTCTATTGAACTGTAATGTGTAAAGCCATTTCATGAATACTAATTGGATGACTGTGCTAAAGCTGTGATACCAGTACAGCAAAATCTTGATCTTCTCTTGACTTTAACCTGTATTTAAGCAGCCTTTTTGGACAGTCAGCAATTGAAAGTTTTTGGTGCCTGTTCCTATAAATCCTTTGCTTTTCCTGTTTATAGATGTTGCCATTGCTGTTTATGCTATTGTCTTTTGTTACAATATAAAGTGCACTATAAAGCACTATATAAAATAAATGTATTACTATCATTATTATTATTATCATTATTATTATTAGTCAGATTTGAGAAAATATTCCAAAAGGAATTGATACAAAGAAGCTCACTGTTAAATTACATGGGATTCATTTCCTTATATTTGTTCATGTGTGTTATACTTTCTTTTTTACCTACACCTTAAATGTAACCTCATGGGATATGTAACTCAATAAACATGTTATATGGGGCATGTTGAACAGTTAAGTCTATTTGACTATATTTCTCACGCTAAAGTTATACTGTACATCAGTACAAAGCAGAGTAAAGTCTACGTGACAAAGACATGTGTTAAAGGATGCATGTCTCACTTTGCAAGGATATGACCAGACAACACTTTAAAGAACACCAAGCACCTGTGGTGAGGACTGCTCTAGAAAAAAACCCAATAACCCCTGTGCTATATCTTATGGGGGAAGTGTGCACAGACACAGAGGTGTGAGGAGATGGTTTGAGATGTGAGGTTAGACTTTGTCACCACCAATGTCTGTTCCTCACATTACACCACAAGTCTCTTCATATAGATACAGACTGATGATTTTATTCAGTGGTCATGACATGAACTTGATTTTCCAAAAAGAAAAAAAACTAAATGTATGTAGCTGGTAGGTCCTTTCTGATCTTGCTGGCATATTATATTGTGATTTTTGGAACTACATTTAAAAATTGTATTTCCAAGCTCAGCCATTTCTACTGCTAACTAGTTAGTGTAAGCTACCCGTTTCTCTTTGCAGTACTGTGTCTCTAATGGGGGCATTTGATTGGCAAGTCAGGGACTTTGCACATTCAACCCTGCAACACTTTAATATGTGATATAAAATCTACAATGGGCCAAACTAAAACAATAAACTCATAATTGTGAATTTTAAACTAAACAGGATTGAACCCTGCAAATGACACAACTACACTAGGTTTTGGTTTGCTTTGGTTCACAATAAAATTATTAAACTATTGGATTGACTACTGTTTACAGTTTTGTACATTCATGGTCCCCATAACATAAATTCAAATGACCATGGTGATGACTTTTTTCTCTAATGTCACCATGAGGTTGACATTTGGGATTTTGAGTGAAATGTCTCTGGACTGCCATAAAATTTGAAATAGACATTCATGCCCCCTCGGGATGAACTGTAACAGCTTTGGTGAGCCTCTGACTTTTCCTTCAGCACAATCAGGCCAAATTAGCAAGTTAGCAATTAGCTCAAAGCACCATAGTACAGCCTTGCTTGGCTCGCTTTTTGTATCACCTTGGTCAAGGTTCCAAGCAAGCTGATCTGATATAACATTGGACTGATAACACTGTAGATAGATAGATAGATAGATAGATAGATAGATAGATAGATAGATAGATAGATAGATAGATAGATAGATAGATACTTTATTGATCCTCTATTGGGGAAATTCTTCTTTTCACTCTTTTTTTTTATATTCTTACACACACACAGTTCACACTTGTGGACATGCAACAGGGAGAGAGATAGTGGAGTGACGGGCTCGCCACGTTAGAGGCGCCCATGAGCAGTTTCTTGGACTGGCACCTCTCCAGCTACCAGTCCACACTCCATATTTTGGTCTGAACCGGCAACCCTCCGTTTCCCAAGCCAAGTCCCTACACACTGAGCTACTGCCTCCCAGTAGCCCAATGATTGATTGAGAGAATCGTAATTAGAATTTACCTGCAATGAGAGGTACACGATCATAACACTCATTAGTTCTTGTGCAGTTCTCTTTCAAATCCAAACCAGTTTTCAAGCATACATCTTAACCTGCCCAGGTCACCCATACACCGCCAGTAACTCATTATCAGATTAAAATTCCACCAAGCCTTGAAGTACAGTCAAAGTAACATGATCCAGACTGCTAGCTCTTAAAATAGACTTCAGGGCGGAGCTACATATCAGCATTTTTAGCACCTTATAAAAGCTCAACACCTTCCTCCTGGGGCCCAGTTACGTTGTTCAACATGTTCAGACACATACTGCACAATCAGTTGTTTTCTGTTCAACACAATAATCATAAAATAAAGATTCATTTTTTCAAAGGTGGTAGTGATACCCAAGCAGATGAGTTTTTCAGGCGTAAAGTAAGTGAATTGACACATTTCTTTAAATGTCGGAAATTCCTGTTTAAAATGAGCAGGTGAGAGTCAACATGGCCACTCCCATTTTCTCTTCCTCTTGCAACACCCCTCAGTGTGAGCCGACTTTAAAAAGCTTCCAAGCAGAGGGAGTTTTAGGCAGACAAGGGGAAGAAATGAGCAGGTTACGCATCTTGAAAGAAACTGGAAAACAGCAGATTGCCAGATGTTAGATGGAAAAGGAACGAATAAATATATCATAAACAAAATCACGGATTCTTCTGCATGTTTGCCTGTGAGACACAGATTCTGCAGCGACTGGCTATCCTGGGTAATTGTTGCTAAAAATTGTTTAACTTAGGTCAAGCTTGTTAGTTATAAGATTGTTGTCCTTTGTCATTATATTCATATATATTATATATTTTATTTAGAGGAATCCTGTAAAATGGAATGGAGAGTGCAACTAATTTAGATAATTTTAACTTTTTTATAATTTTTTTTTATTCTTAAATTACTATTACTACTAAAACTATATGTTACAGATTATTGCTGTTTTCAGAAGATCTGGCATAAAAGGGACCTTTTAAATAAAGGAAAATACAATGCCACCTTTTTGACACCTGCCCAAAGCTTCCAGTCACAGCAGAGCACTGAGACTCCTCTGCACAGATATTATACTCATAGTGCGAACTACAGATGAGCCAGGGGGAGCTTGGCTCCTCTTAATAAGACATGGGCTCCCTGAAAACATAATTAGTGAAATTTTGGGGGGTTTCTGTTGCTCTAATTTTACTGTATTTTCATTAGACATTATCGTATACGGGTATGCTGTGCAGCTGAAAAATATAAACAAAAACAAACATTGGATTGTTGGCAGATAATCCATATTAAAAGAGTGTATGGAAGCTGTTAATAACTACTCTATTTTTCTCTCTGTTATCTCCTGACTCAGTGGTGTGCCATGACTTAGCGATGGGCCAGATCATCTCATATGACCTCCTGGTCCAGGGACCGATGTCCTGGTTCAAAGCCCAGGAGTTCTGTCAGAGGCACTATGTCAACCTTGCTGTCCTGAGCACAGAAGAACAATACTTTACTTTCCTCAATGCCACTGCTGCAAACAAAGTCAGCTTTTGGCTTGGCCTGCAGCGTCTGACCACCTTTAGTGGCTGGAAGTGGGTGAACGGGGAGGAGCTGAGCTATGATCACTGGTACAGGAGAAACTATGAAGGCCACTGTGCAAGTTTGGAGGCCATGTTGAAGAAAGAGAACAAGCTACTGGCTCGCTACTGTGATGAGGCACACATGTTTCTCTGTCAGGGTGAGTAATAATGCTTCTTGGTTGTACAATTTAGAGACTAGTAAATATGGTAACTTCTGTGTGACATTAATGTAATAGAAAAATTTTACTTTGACTTTATTGTCCCATGGGCAGATTTGTTTTTACAGCCTGTACATGTTCATACACACAGAAACATGCATTAAATACATGGATGCTGGCACATACATTCATTCCCTTACATAGTGTTAACCATTCATTTCTGGCAGTACTAAATCTTCAACCAGCCATACCCTAACCTCAACCAGTTATATCTGAGATGCCTGACAATACCAACCTAACCTCGGACCCAACCCCAACCAAGTGGGCCAGTGGCAAAGGTGTAGAGTGACCTAAAACTTTTCTCTAACTTCTTCATTGTCAAACTCCCTCACAGGTCCAGTTGCTCCGCAGCCAGTGACAGTGGACTCAGTGGGCTCTGATCATGTGGTTCTCAGCTGGAACGTCTCTGCATTTATGCAGATGACACCACACAGCTACAACGTGACGACATGCACCAACACATGTGATACACTCTTCTGCCCCTACCCTGATGGCTCTGCCTTCATGAACATCAGCATCTCCGACTTAACTTCAGCCACAGAGTACTTTATAGAGATTTCCACTTTTGTTGTTCGACCTGACAGTGTAACTGGTGGAAACATGACCCTTAAAAGTAACTCTACAGCTTTCAAAGTCAAAACAGGTAGGAAGGATTTAAATGTAATTTACATGGTGTTAATTTTGTGTGGAAGCAGTCTGCTTTGTCATGCATTGGGTTTCATATATGATGTATGCAATATTATCAACAACAATTCAAATAATCAATTCTTTGTTTTATGTAATTTGTCAAACACAATGAATTCATAAAATAATAAATGGATAAATTGATAAAGACAATAACCATTAGCTGCAGGCAGCTCTACCTAAATGATCATGTTCTTCTACTCTTCGAACTTGTGTGATTTAAAAAATCAATGGTCTTGTATTTGTGTGTGATGCATATTTGTCCTTTCTCTTCCTTAGTGGACTCTGGTGCTCAGTACAAAGTCATCATTATAATCTTGAAGTCGCTCAAGCTCATGCCTTTGGTTCCTTCACTCTGGATTATTTACCATATCCTGAGAAAATGCAAGTCTCTGTCCTTGGGTAAGAAAAATTAATATACTAAAACACACCTCAAAACATTCAAGCATGTCAAATATGTATCCTTCACGTGTGCTTCATGTGCCATTTGTTTTCCCTCTCCAGATGAAGTCAAGGAGTCAGATCATGATATCTCTCAGTCATCAGTGGAGCTCCCAACTGAGGACACAATTGTTTACCTGATCCCACAGAAAAACAGAGGATTCGGTTAAGATTCAGATTAAGAAAAATGGCTGAGATTGGGGTCCAAATGACAGGGAAAGGCAATTTAATTCTTTTACCTTGAGCATGATGGCATTTGTTCATGATATAAACATGAAATATCCTGAACAAGTTGAACATATGGAATAGTAAGAGACAAGTTCCTAAACAGGCAAAATGGGGATAATTTTTTTGACACAAATGATCAGTCAGTTTATTGAAAACAAATGTTTGAGAAACTGATGAGATGGTCAACTGTGATGTGATGAGAACTTAAGATTGACCCCTATGTCCTTTTAGATCATTTGCTTCACTGCTCCTCTCTCCTCCATTTTGCATAACCCATCACGGTATTTCTACTGGCACAGCATAATATGCTCTAACCCTGCTGATGTCTCCAGAGCTGACCTGTACTGCATGCTACAAGCAGAGCCAAAGCATGATGGTGTCACGTCATCAACTCAAATAGTCAAAGACATGGGCACACGACAGGAGGAGTTGTTATTTTTATATTACAGTGGTTTTGTAGCAAAGTCCGTTACAAGTTGCTGTTGTTTAGATTTTGTTTTACTTTTAACATCCCTGTTCTTCAAAAGTAGAGCCTTGTTGGTTCGCCTTCCTTTTTAGGAGCAGAAAACCAATGCCACTTCTGGCAGCTGCTTCACAGTAAAAGCCTTTTAGCGTTTGAGGGCTAATTTGTTGCTCAATGATCCTGCTGAAAGCTGGTAAATCAAAATTTGGATATTTTTGGGTGCTTTCTTGCTGGTGGATTAGTTTGAAACACCTTAAAATAAGAGAATAAGTCAACATGATGATGATTTTCTCAATATATTTTGGAGCCATGCTCATCAAGTTATGATGAGCATGTTTTGTTACACAGCCTGTGATGGCCACCATGTTTTTTCAAGCAGTTATTTCAAATTTGTGGGCATTTCTGTGTCATATTTGATCATTTTATCCATCCATTTCCCTACCAAAGCTTGCCGTCAACCTGCGTCACTTTCTTCTTTTCTCATTTCTGAAATAATGCTAGTGACAAACCGTCACTCATTATCATTATTATGGATGAATGTAGCGTTGACATATAAGGTTTACTACAAGCTGTGTTCCTTATGTGAGGCTTAATATTAAGATGTACTGTATATTCAAAGAAGGTAACTAGAAACATGTTCTCTAAATGTAGTTTCATCATTGAACTGGAGGTGGCAGAGTTTGCACCCGCCAAGAAATGTCACAGTATTAAGTACTACAACTTGTTTTAGACTTTATTTATTTTACATATATGAACCTCACATTAGTTAGTTAATGTCAAAGGGAACACAGGCAGCAAATGTGAAAAGGCCCAGAGTTAGCTAAAGCCTTGACTAAAACATGATTTCAATGAAACTATATATGGCAGATAGGTCTGGTAGTATTAGTCATATCATTAAGCCACAGCTAATCCAAAAGTATTTATATTTATTTATATATATATTATTATTTATATTTCACACTCTTACGTTTCTTTTTTTTTTTTTAAAGTTCTATTTGAAAAATGTCCTGAGATAACTTTTGTTATGAATTGGTACTATACAAATAAAACTGAACTGAAACTGAACTGAATTGTTTGTTTGTTTGTTTGTTTTTTGTCCTTTTGTATATATATATGCATACAACATGTTAATTAGGGAGCTTTAGAGTTGCTGGTAGAAATTGTTACCTTTGGACAGAGCCAGGCTAGCTGTTTCTAGTGTTTGTGCTAAGCTAAGCTAACCAGCTGTAGGCTGTAGGCTTAAACAGTATTTAATGGACAGATGTGAGAGTGGTAATTTTATCATCTGTCAACTATAAAAGGAAATAAACCTATTTCCCAGAATGCTGAACTATTGCTTTAACGTAACATAACAATCTTCCAGCAGTTAACCCTTGCTTTATTGAACCCTTTTAATTTCTTTATCATTCACCTCCACCAGCCTGATGTCATGCACATCAGCCAATATGTTTCACTTTCTCAGGTTTTCCAGTGATTCATGACATGACGTTATGAGAAACACTCATAACTGTAGCTAAAAAGGCTGACTACAGCCTCGAGCTGCAGCTGTTCCATACTTGGCCCACCTATACTAATATTTGCCCCCGATGATGTGAACAGCTTCACGTAGAAAAAGCCGCCACCACACAGCCTGTGAATAAAATGGTAATGATTACTGGTAAATGCAAAAAACTGTTACCACAGGGTCCTATATAGCGTTAGCGCACCAATTCTCATGTCATACTTGCGTCCACTTTGCTGACTCATGCATTTCCATGGTCAAACCACATCCTTTGAGCTTAACACATAAAGGCAAGAGTGTGCATCGAGGTGGGTTTCAGTGCATTCACCATCACATCAAAGAAAGAAACAAGAAGAAATGTTCTGCCTGAGGGATTCCGTCGTTTCTATCTATTGTGTGGTCCTCCTCATTGTCCAGTCAAGTGAGTATTTCTACAATAATTTCATGTAAACATGCAGAATGCAAAGTAATGATGTATTTAAATATTACAGCACAGCCGGTGCAGAGTGATACACCAGCTGCGCTGTAATTACAAAAAATAATCTAATTTGTTGTTAAATTAATGAACTGAATGTGTTCTGTTTTAGGTCATAGCGCCGAGATTATTGGTGGGAGGGAAGTGGACCCCCACTCACTGCCTTTCATGGCTCTGCTGTATAACAATAAATCACCAGCCTGTGGAGGGATACTCATCGATCCAAAATGGGTCCTGACTGCTGCCCACTGTGCTGGGTAAGAACAAGATAGGCCAACACACATTCCTAAAATGGTCAGATCTCAAAATATACACTAAAGCTAATATTAATTTTCTACATAAAAGATATTGTGTACTGGTCATTTAAAATCTTATAATCTTACAAGTCCACATACTTTGCTCTGATATCATTTTGAATTTAATATTTGCTCTTTAAAGTAAAAATCTTAGTTCTCACTAACCTAATCAGGGACACAGGCACGTAAGAGATACATTGCTGAGACTACTTTGACTTTTAAACAGATTTATTTATGTTTTGAGGTCAGCAACTGACATATGCCATACAGCAGCTCCTTGGGGGGCATTGGGGTATTGTAGAGGGATGCATCTATAGATTCTGATTAGTAAAGGAAAAACAGTGCTCCAATGCTAGTGACATTTATTCAGACAGAATGACATTTGAAGCATATGATGGACAGACTTTTGACAGAGAAGAAAAAGCAGGTGGTTGTCATCACTCACTTCAAGAAACCACAAAAGTTACAGGGCTTGAGACAAGATATCCTCTTGAGCAATCTTTAACTTGCATTTTCCATTTGCACAAAAGAGTCGAATGAGAAAAAGTGCATGAAAAGAGAAATGCACTTCATGATCTAGAAAATGTTATGTCAGTCAAGATCAACTACAGTATGCATATTTTAGTTCAATGCTAAAACAAGAAAAAGAAAGTATGAGCACTGGTGTACTGTATGTGACTTTCTAAACCTGTTCATGTCTGCACTGTGGTCCCGTTGCTGCTTTTATAGACACAGTAATACTTATTTGAATTAGCCGACCCTTGTTTGTTGCACACGCCACAAAGAAGAAATGTAAGGAGGCAGACATCGAAGAGAAAATGTACTTCAGGTCAAAGACTGCAGAGCTGTCAGGGACAGATTCCCCTAATACTGGATACAAAAGCAGATTGATAGATGAAAATATTTCCTGAATAGATTCAACTCAGTGAAGATAAACATATACAGGTTTCAGTCCACACCCATGAGAGTCAAACAACCCATGAGAGTCAAACAACTACCACACAGTCATATCAGCCCTGTTAGGTGGCAAACTCTCCATTCAGCATTTGTCAACTACCACTGAAATCTCAATATGTATTGACACTAGGGGGAAAAAGCTGTACATGTTTCTCTAAGTCTCAATAAAAGCCATATTCTGACCATATTATAGGCTATAAATCATATGTGATAATGCTCATATAATAAAGCAACTGTATAAAGTAATAGTTTTATAAATTTGTGCACTCCTAGCATGTTGACCTTTAGTGAACTTTGTTAAACACAGTGTTTCCTGTTCTTGCAGCATTAATAAGGTGTTTCTGGGGGTGCACTCCATCAGTAAGACGGAAAAAAATATGATACAGGTCCGAAAGGTGAAGACCTTTCCTCATCCCTGCTATGATGCAACTGATAATGTCAACGACCTCATGTTGCTCAAGGTAAGGTGCCAAGTAGTGACTTACAACCTACATTAAGCAAAGATGCAGCAGAAAGTGGTTCTGGAAACATTTTTGTAGCTATTTATTTGAACTCATTATTTGCTTTTTTTTAGGCGGGAGATAAAGATACCATGTAAACTGCAAACCAAATTGAATCCAAATCAAATATTTACCAATCCAAAGTCGGGCATATCTCTCTTCTAAGGCCCACAATGGGCTTTGTCTCGAGTGTGTATATTCAGCTGATTTTTAACTTTGCTTTGAGATTTAGTCAAATAAGTGCATTACCACACAAATTAAAACCTCCATAACCCCCCTTTGTTATACAGATAATTTGATACTACTGAGATTTTATGGGTAGAATCATTGCCCAAGACAGACGCTAGATAAGAAAGTTCACATTTTCATCAGCATAAAAAATAAGGATTTTTCCCCTAAATTTCAGCTTGACAAACCGGTGAAGCAAACCAAGACGGTGAAATGTCTCAAATTGGGAAACACCGTCAAAGAACCAGCAGCTGGCACCAACTGTCTGGTGGCTGGATGGGGGACAACAAAAAACAATGTGAAGAAAATGTCAGACGTCCTGATGTCTGTCAATGTGACTGTGATCGACAGAATGAAGTGCAACTCCCCTGAATATTACGGCCTGAAGCCTGTTATCACTAGCAGCATGATATGCGCTGGTTCGAACGGTAATGACAGGGCCGACACCTGTCAGGTAAGTGCACTTTATGCAGGCAGTAAACAGCCTGTTATCACCTATCACCACCTACACTGCTATTTATGCGCCCAAAAATCATGTCATGTATTTATTCTCACTCTAGGGGGATTCAGGAGGGCCGCTGTTGTGCAATGGAGCGCTGGTCGGAGTCACTTCATTTGGAGTGAGGTGTGGTATCATTAAAAAGCCTGGTGTGTACTCTTTTCTCTCAGAAAAACAAGTCCTCTGGATTAAAAAGACTATGAAGAAGTGAAATATAATGAGCTCTCCCTGTTAATTACTATGAATCCTTAAGCTTTTTTCTAACCACGTCTATCTAAGTACTTTTGTTATGCTTCACATTTATTTCATCCTAATTAAATATACTGTATTGTTTGGATGGCGAAGGAGTATAAGAAATGGATTTGGATGTTGAACTGCTCTAATGTAAGCCGCAGTCATTTGTTGGGGCTATCCATCTTATTAACTACAGTATCAACCGAACCAAAGTATAAAGCCAAGGAGCAAAACTAGCAACTCAGTTTTTGTGCTTTTATTCCATCTGCAAATATGTGAATGTATTTTTTAAATCAAATCATATTTTCTGTTTTTACTTACCTGCTGAGTCAGAAGTATTCCCACGGCTACGAGTACTTCTGGTTGTTATAGATGACTTCGTCTGCTGCAGTAAACGTGATCTTTTTTTAAGCTGTACACCAAAGAGCTATCTCTTTTCAGATAAAAGCAAAACACCAAAGAGACATTATTCACCCCGCCAACCATGCAGATTTACCACATCCGGCATCAACTGTTCAAATTGACATTGGCCAATGACATTTTATACTGCCTTTAAGGCATAAATATTTATTTCTTTCTATTTGTACTATGTCTCTCCTAGTGCATTCTCATAACAGTAGCTCCTCACAGATTTGTGTTCCCATTCTCTGGTTTCAGGTTGTGTGAGATCAGTGTTCAAATTAAAAAGCTTTGATGTTGCATCATTTTGTCGTGTTTCCTTTCTTCCTCCTCAATAAGTCATCTGGTGATGATGTTAAAATGCTGCATGGGTGAGCCTGTGACAGTAATATCAACACAGAGAACACCAAGTTCTGAACCACAAAGAGAAACAAATCATGTAGCCTACTGAGACTTACTGAAACCACAGCACAAACGCTAAATTCACACGGCGTATCTTGAGACCCCATACAGGAAACGTGCAAAAATGTCGCAATGCTGCATATGTGCCTTTAATCAGAAATGGAAGGAGACTAGAACAGTGAATCACATCAAACATGTCCACTTCCAGTAAAAGGAAATGTTTGCTTTGACCCTTGGAAGGATTATTCATCAGTTCCTTTGTCTCCCTTATCTTAAATACTGTTGTTCACCTTCATTCCTGTGAGCTGATAGAGCCCTTTTGTCTCTCTGCAATATTTACTCCCCACTTTAAATTCTTGTGGGTTTATCGTGTTGCACGGAAGTCAGCTTAGCCTATTAATTACATCTACTGTATACACCCAGTCTTTATGACCTGGGACTTTATGTAATGTGGCACTGACACTCAGTTCTCATACTACATCACTAGATGGTGCTCTCTGCTTCTGGTGCAGAAATTTACAGAAAGGAGATTCCCCTCAGCTAAAAGTACATTTAAAATGGCTTTAATAAAAAA